GTATTATCGCACATCAGTCTACATTTACCCTTCGGCGGATACCCCAAATCTTTAAGGAGTTTTCTTAGCCAAAGAACTTCAGTAATTCCTCGAGCGATCCCTCTGAATTCTGCTTCTGCACTTGATAGAGCAACTACCTTTTGTTTCTTGCTTTTCCATGTGACCAAATTACCTCCAACAAAGGTGAAATACCCTGAAGTGGATCTTCGATCGTTTGGATTCCCTGCCCAGTCAGCATCAGTGTAGGCTTGAATATCTAAGTGACCATGTTTTTTGAATGTAACTCCCATATTAATGGTCCCCTTAAGATATCTCACAATTTGAATAGCCGCATCCCAATGTTCCTTCTGTGGTTTGTGCATGAACTGACTTACCACTCCGACAGCATATGCAATATCAGGTCTTGTGAGTGCGAGATATATAAGTTTGCCTATAAGTCTTCGGTACTTATCTTGATCAGCTTGTATTCCTCCCTCATTAATTTGAAGCCCGTGGTTAACCATCATTGGAGTGACAGCCGGTTTGCAATCCATTAATCCAGTTTCAACTAAAAGATCAAGAATATACTTTTTTGGCAAATAAAGATCCCCTCTTGAGATTTGAGAACTTCAATGCCAAGGAAAAAGTTAAGTTCTCCAAGATCCTTCATGTCGAATTCCTGGAATAGCTTGCCTTTTAGTGTAGCCATCTCTTCTATGTCACTGCCTGTAATAATCATGTCATCCACATAGATAATCAAACATGTTATGAGTTTGCCTCGCCTTTTTAGAAACAGGGTATGATCAAAGTTTCTTTGACGATATCCATATTTCTTCATGGCTATCGTGAATCTGCCAAACCATGCACGTGGAGATTGTTTTAGACCATACAAAGCTTTTCTCAATCTACAACCTTCGCCTTTTTTGAAATCTGATGAGAACCCAGGTGGTGCTTCCATGTAAACCTCATCTTTTAGTTCTCCATGGAGAAAAGCATTCTTCACATCAAACTGATATAAGGGCCAGTCTAGATTAGCTGCTACAGAGAATAATACTCGGATAGTATCAATTTTGGCTACCGGTGAGAAAGTCTCAGAGTAGTCAATACCATAAGTTTGAGTATATCCTTTAGCTACTAATCTAGCCTTATATCTCTCGATTGTACCATCTGCCTTGTGTTTGACTGTAAATACCCATCGGCATCCGACAAGTTTCTTTCCTGAGCAGAGTTGACATTTCTCCCATGTGTTGTTTTTCTCTAGCGCCTCCATCTCCTCCTCCATTGCTTTTCTCCATTCTGGTATTTGTATGGCTTCGTCTACTGTTCATGGGTGGATGTGTGAAACACCTGTGACACACTCCCCCTGACCAGATCAGCAACAGGATATCTTGAATTCAGAGGGATGTATTCTGGTTCATATCTGACTGGAGGAATTCCCCGATTCTTCCGTGGTGGGAGAACATATCTGTTTGATATATTCAATTCTTCCATGCTATCATTAGATTTATCAATGCAATCATCAGGAGTGGGAGAAATACTAACCTCAGGAGTCTTTTCAGACGGAGTAGGATCCGCATGAGTTTTGAGTTGTTGGACTATTCAATGTTCTCAAAAATTGATCCCACAGAGCGACTTACTTCCTCGGTTAGGACAGTTTCAGGTGGCAAGACCGGGCTGTGTAACCACTCTAGAGAGTCATTTGTAACTTTCTCCCCCTGACTACTAGAGTGGTTATGGAAATAGTACTCAGTTTCCAAAAAATTACAATCCATTATCGTGTACATCCGACGAGAAATAGGATCATAACATCTGTATCCCCTTTTGTGAATCCCATACCCAACAAAGACACATCGGACGGCACAAGGATCAAATTTTGTCCGTTTGATTTTTGGAATATGTACATATACAGTGCAGCCAAACACACGAGGAGTGAGAGTCAAGGAGGTAGGAACAGTGGAAAATTTTGCAAGTGTATCGATGGGTGTTTTGTGATTTAGGATTTTTGTTGGAAGGCGATTTATGAGGTAAATGGTGGATGCAATTGCTTCAGGCCAGTAATAAATCGGAACATTGGACTCAATCATAAGGGCCCTAGTGATTTCGAGTATAATCCGATTCTTACGTTCAGCAACGCCATTTTGTTGAGGGGTGTCAGGACAAGTGGTTTGATGTATAAGACCTTTTTCTTTGCAGAAATTTCCCATGGGATGATTTATGTATTCTCCTCCATTATCAGATCGTAGAATACAGATCTGTTTTTGGTATTGTGTGTGGATCAATTTGTAAAATGAGGTGAATTTTTCAAAAACTTCAGATTTATGTTTAAGAAAGTACACCCAGGTCATACGGGTACAATCATCAACGAACAATAAAAAATATTGATACCCATTTGGACTTGGTTCTGGAGATGGACCCCACACATCAGAATGGATTAATGAGAAAGGTTGTGATGCAACAGTGTTATTTAACGGATAGGAATGTTTATGACTTTTGGCTAGAATACAACTATTGCAATGAAACTGACATGATTTATTGAATAATTTTGGAAAGAGAATTTTTAGATACCCCCAAGATGGATGTCCCAAACGACGATGCCACAGCCATGCCTGCCTGTCCACTGTCCCATGAGCAAGTGTAGCTGTTCCATAGTGATCAACTTCATCAACATAGTACAAGCCATAACGCTCAGAACCACGCCCAATGATCTTCCCCGTCCAAATATCCTGTAATAAGCAAAAAGTGGGGTGCATTAGGACCATGCAGTTTAATTGTTTAGTGACATGGCTTATTGACAGCAATTTATGAGACAGTGTGGGAACATATAGACAATTATCAAGCCGGATAGATGTCGATATAGATATTGGACCGGTGCCCTCGACACGAGAATAATCCCCATTGGCCGTTTGATTATGAGTTTTCTTAGACCAATTTAAGGAATTAAAATCAGACCGGTCAAAGGACATTGTGTCAGTTGCCCCGCAATCAAAAATCCACTGAGTATTTTTAATTGGGTTCATTTTGGGTCTGATTGATGGGCTGGGAGGAGATATTAAAAATCCCTTCCCCCCCTCTTCCGTAACCCTACCCGCTGATTCGCCCTTCTCCTTCGTTGCGCCATTCACTGCGCCGACTTCATCTTCTTCACCTCTCTCTTTTCTTTCGCCTCTTTCCATGGTGATTCCAGCGAAAAATTGAGGCGTTTGGTTGGCGGTGATGCTGGTGGTCTCTGGATTGCCCATTACTGCCCCAGCGACTCCCGGCGGCTTCTTCCCCCTCTTTCGGGTGTCCGGCCACCACTCGGGATACCCAATTCTTTTGAAGCAACCTTCGGCTGTGTGCTTCGTCCCACCACAGTAGGTACATCTTAACTGTGATTTATCTTCATATGTGCGAGATGACGATTGGCGATTTTCCGATCGCACCGCCGCCGCCCGTGTGGNGATGCTGGTGGTCTCTGGATTGCCCATTACTGCCCCAGCGACTCCCGGCGGCTTCTTCCCCCTCTTTCGGGTGTCCGGCCACCACTCGGGATACCCAATTCTTTTGAAGCAACCTTCGGCTGTGTGCTTCGTCCCACCACAGTAGGTACATCTTAACTGTGATTTATCTTCATATGTGCGAGATGACGATTGGCGATTTTCCGATCGCACCGCCGCCGCCCGTGTGGCCGTAAGGCCACCGCCGATTCCTGAGGGAGATTCTCCCGATGATGGTCCTCCCCCGTCTCCTTTCATAATTCCTTTTCTTGCTGCCTCTCTTCGGATTTGAGCGTATGCTTCTTCTACCGATGAAAGAGGTTCGGTTTTGAGTATGTCCTGTTTTTCGGCATCAAATTCCTCATTTATAGCCTGTAGGAATTGATATAGACGATTTTGTTGTTGAATTTGTGTAAAAATCATCATATCCTCTGGACATTTCATTGGGTTGGGTCGGCGTCGGTCGATTTCTTTCCAAATTGCTTGAAGCTGGCTCTAAACTTTTTCCAGGGACTGTGCTCCTTGTTTGATCTCACTGGCCTTGACCGTTAAGTCGTAGATTTGTAGGGGATCTTTTCCGGAGCCGTACGTGGCTTCGATTCCCTTCCACAAATCCCACGCAGTCGGATATTCGATGTATTGATTTACAATATCCGACTCTATGTTTTCTAGTATCCAATTAATCACCGTTGAATCTGTTTGCCTCCACTTGATATATTTGGGATCATCAGTTTTGATAGGTGCGGCAGTGATGTGCTTGAGCCGCCCTCTCCCGTCCAGAGCTAAGCTCATCTTGCGCGCCCAAATGGCGTAGTTCCTATCGTTGAGCTTTTCCGCCATATTTAATGGCTGATTGGAAGAGCTCTCGATAGGTTCGGCCTTGGGTGTCAAATTCTGAAAATTTTGAAGAATTTCCAGAATTTGTGCAAGATTGATCGGCTGATTTTTCGGGTCAGATTCCTCTGTGTTTATGGAACTGCCCGTTTGAGGAGTTTTATCGGACATTTTGTTTTTATGGTATATGATGAATGCTGCGTTTCATTCAATTGTTTGATCGAATGATGGCTTTGATACCATATTAGAAATATTAGAATGAATTCACAGCATAATATTCATCTTATTGAATACATCTATAATGATGTCTATAAATATTACAAAGTTACTAATGGAGACAATCAAGGAAAGTGAGTGGAAGTTAATCAAATATCTTGATTGGTAATTTGATTCCAATCAAGGATATCATCAAGATATTACACTATTCCACAATATTCCCTTTTTTTTGATATTTCTAACAGATTGCTCGTGCTAGAGGAGAAATGTCGCAATTGCGCTAGAGGAGAGAGAGATGACGCAGAGAGAGGTGCTAACGATGTAGAGAAGACATACGACAATGTTGGGCTAGGGTTTCGACATCAACACATCCGACAAGGGTAGCAACCAATTTTTTTTTCTATTTTATGCAATTTTTTATATGTATGGAATGTTGTTAAAGTCTTTGCATTGACGTATAAGTGAGTAATGATAAACTTGTGTGTAGGAGGATTTTCAGGGTTTGGGTGCTTGTAATTACAATTTATTTTATTGGATGACTTCTCAAGATTCTGGAATAAATCCCATGGGCTGAAGCTGGTGCTGAATTTGTGGTTTAATCTACTGGAGTGTTGACTCATAAGGGTAAGGCTGCTACTCATTTGAAGGTTTGATTACCCTTGTCAATTTTTCATGTTTACTTTAGAATGTTTTTGTTTGAATAGTATTCCCTACTTCACTATTACAGAAACGAAATTTTTATTGTTTGTCGTTACAATGGTATGGTTGCATACATCTTGATATATTAGATTCCAACAGTGTTAGGGTTATACATGGTCTGCTCTTGACTCTTTGTTTGTGAGTTGAAAGATTTATGAGATTTTATCTCATTGCTATGGATCGGAGTATTTTATATAATCACACACAATTTTGATAAAGAAATGGTGAAATACTGAATTTTGGAGCATATATGAGAGTTGCTTTAAGGAAGAAATATAAATCTTAGATTGCTTTGTTCTTGTTCTAAGTAACTGTCCTATTTAAAGCTTACATAGATCATCTTTCTCTAGAACACATTCTTTCAACTTTGAAAAGAAAGCAAAGCCCCCCTTTTTTGTATGTCAAAGTATTTATAAAGAATTGCTCCACCTCTCTTTCCTCCCCCCCCCATCTTTGAATCTCCATTGTACGCTGCTCAATCCGCCGTCCATGGTAAATCAAATTCATCTCCTTCTCCATATTTCAATTTTATTTTGCGTAAGTGTTTACATAGATATGTGAGGTTTGAGAGTATGATTGCTTTTGAAATAAAATTATGCTACTAAAACAACATGTTAATTACATAAATAGTTTTTTTTGAATTTGAAATGAATGGGTTATTATTATTGTTGTTAATCTATATATGGAATTTTGATTATGAAAGAATTGTTTTTTTTCTTTGAAGCTGCTGCTGAATTTTAGTGGATAGAAACTTCAGCTGACTTGGATGGTAATTATTACCCTCTTGTTTACGCTATCTCGATAAACTATGAAAATGAAAATTGAAGCTCTACGTCTTATCTAACCACTGCACCAAATCCAATGGTTTGCGAGTCCGACATGTAACAACGGAGATACGCCCATAATATGGAGACTGATCTAGCTGTAATGGGAGTGACGTGAATTGCAACTTCAATCTTTGCTTTTTCCTTGCCCATCAACTCTCAGGTCTGTACCCCGGACTTATGTCCGATGAGATTTTGTAGAATCATTCATATGCATATATTTAGCCTCATTGTTAATATCGTTATCGTCGTACGAAGACTTTTACACGAACCTTACGTTAAAACTACAATACATTCATGTTACATCACCTTAATATTATTATATGTTGATTAAAATGAAGAAAAGTATATTTTAAATAAATGAAAATAGACTTTGGAACTCGTAAAATGAAAATGTAGTAGACCACTGGGCTCTACACGGTCGATCGTCCAGTGGACCCATGAAGGAAGAAGCCGAAATTTCCATGTCGACGGTCAACTGTAGATAAGAATGGTCCACCAACATTGACCGTCGACATTGTTCACGCTGAAGGATTTTCTTCGCTGCAAAACAACGATCCTCCATTGTCTCCTAAAGTCCAAGGCATCAATCGTTGTCACTGTTCATATCGAAACCCAACTTTAAACCTGAGACGTAACGGCCGACCGTACTCCTCCACAGTCCACCGTCACAGTACCTTCTGACTGTCGAAGGACAGTCGACTGTAACCTCAAAACAGTCAATCTTACCTCACCCAGTAGCTCCGAATCTTAGATAGTATCCTTGCTTTGTGTAATTAATTTTTAATATGTTGATAAATGATTAAGGATGATATTATGTTAGAGACTTTGCGGTAACACTTTATATGCTCCATTCCATGGATGTGATAAATATGACGGCGGTACTAATGACCAAAAGGATATTTTTGATAGTAAAACAAGATTATTTATAGTAATAAATAGTATGGGTTTGAGTGCATAAAATAGGGCGATATTAGGAGATGAGTATGTACATACATTACGTCCATGCTAGTCACGTGACTGGGAATCACTCAACCCGTGCGTTCAGAACCAGAAGAGTATTTATACCCAGACTGGGAAAGGCCACAGAAAAGATTATGAACCTGAAGAGAAGAGCACTTGAACTCAGACTCTGACAGGGGAAGTCTTATCGAGTTCTTTTTCTATGGAGATTAACTCTAAAGGAAGAGCGAGGATTAAGTGAATTAAATGATGGAAAAATGATCACGGATGTAATCTAGCTTTTAATATAGATATCATTCAATTATGAAAATGGATTTATTGACTTCACATATATGCTTCTTTAACTTGAATGAATATGATTATGAATTATTCTTTGAAATCTATGTTGTGGTAGCACTCAGCGGTTTCGCTGAGCGTGCAGTTTCCTTTCTTGTGTGACGGTGCGTCGGTAATAAAGTTATGGCGTCCATCCAAAGGATGCTGAGGCGGGAGAGTTGGCAGAGAGATGCGGGAACTGTTTTTTATATTTTTAAATACTTTGGGACTTAAATCTATATATGTAAATATTTTAAATCTAATTTAGCTTCCGCAACGTTTAAATTAAATTACTCTGAAAATTATTTTATCAGGTTGAGAAAATCATGTTTTAAATATTTCTAAATTATTACCCAATTCACTTTTCTTTAATTATGATATGTTACTTTACCAAATTGCTAGCGCTCTTGTCTGGTAACCCGCGTGAACCGGGTTATGCGAATCCGGGTTTTACAAGAAGTGTTATTTTATCGATTATTATCAAACCATATAAACCTCAGGGTGAGGCCTAACATGCTTGAATTAACTATTTTTACTCCAAAAATTGTACCCTACTTTTTACTCAGAAAGCATGCACTAACAATTTGTGCTTGTGTAATGCTTGTGTGATAATTTACAATGACACAAAATGTTAGTGCAATCTTTTTATTGAACAAGCTTTTTGTATCATTATGAATTGTTAAAATACTGGTGCATCCCTTTGGGGTACGATTTGAAGTGTACCACTAGCATGGTTGAACATGCTTATGTCCAAGGCGCCGCCTTATCTTACATCTTAAGTACTGCTTGTCGACCACGGGCCCCAAGCATGTCAAGTGAGATCTGTCAGTCAATCCCTGAGTTGGAGAGTCTGACCTCAAGGCCTCAAACCGAGCTTGTGGGTCGAGATTAGATCTGGTAAAATAGAACAAGAATCGGTTACCTAAATCGAATTATCCAAAATTAAAATCGAAATGATCCGAAAAGTGACGATCTGATATAAAGATGAAAATCCAAAATGATCAGAACTAAACCAACACCAAACTAAATAATTTGTACTCTATTTAAATCCAAAATTGATAAGATTCCAAACTCATTAGATCGCAAGAATCGATTATCTAAACCGAATTATCCCGAATTAAAATCGAAATGATCCGAAAAGTGAAGATCTGATATATAGCTTAAAATCCAAAATGAACATAACTGAACCAACACCAAACTAAATAATTTGTACTCTATTTAAATTCAAAATTGATAAGATCCCAAACTCATTAGACCCAAAAATATCGTATCATTTAAATTTATTTTATTTACAAATTAAGCAAAATTTAAACATATAAAATATCTGACGAATAAATCAAGCCAACATCAATGGTTTATTTTTAAAAAATTTATCAGTGAACCAAGTGAACTCATAGAGAAATTAGTATGTGAACTAAAAGACATAAAAATTACGTTTAATTTTTTCATTTATAAGGATAAAGATAATAGTAGATGGGATAAATTTGATATATCAAAACTCAATCATAAAATCAATCTAATTATATTAAATTTATATCATAACTTAATATACATTTTTTCGTAATTCATAGTCCAAATTTATAAAATATGACTAAAATGTCAAAAAGAGGAAATTATTTAGGATGAAAATAGTGCAATTAGAGAAAATGAAAAATAATATGAGCTTGTGAATTGATGATAGGTTGATAAATCTTACTTAGAAAATAATACATACCCAAAATATATTCGAACTAAAATATATATGTAACCGAAAATTATCCAAATTGAACTATATCCGAAATCAAAATATATTCGAACCGGTATATCTCGAAAATTGAATGTATTCGAAACAATTTATGCCTGTACTGGAACTGAACCAACTCGAAGTGTTTGGAACGGAATCAAATCCAAATCAAAATTAAATTAAATCATTTCGAACTGAACTGATTATAACATATACTCCGTATATGAAAGATACGCGAATCGAAAAATTGAATTCGAAACCAATCCGTTTGCCACCTTTTAGTCAACATACACTCTCCATGGACCTATTGCCTTGGGCTTCCGAGTCCTCTTGCATGGATATATTAAGTGCCACAAAATTTTTAATCCTTCATCCAATAATTTTGCTCGAGGTTGAGCTTGCCTCATTTGCTTCTTTTTTATCGTCACCTCACTTGTTAAAAAGAAGAACGAATTGTGTTTGCTTTATCTTCCTTAATTTTTTCCTCACTTCCGTTTCTCAAATATAACCTCTCACACACTTTCTCCCCATCCAAGAATTCTGGGAGTTCCACAACAAGCATTTTGAATTCAAAATAGAGTTCACTTTTTGAATTTCAATTTCTAGATTTGAATTTTTAAATATTAATTCAATTCTGTGTTCCCAAAAGCAACCTTAAAAAATTTAGGATAAAGTGCATACAAGGTCTTTATATTTTTCTAAAAGTGTTTCCCAAATTTCTGAATTAATTTAAGTGCTTACTAGGTCCTTGTATATTTTTGAAAGTGTTCCATAGGTTTCTAAATTATTTTTAGTTCCTACCAGATCCATATACTTTCTAATTGGTGCTTAGCAGTCCCTTCAGTATCATTTTTCAGATCAAGGGCGCAGAAATTGTTTGAGCAACACGGACAAATTGTTCAAAAATTTATGATATAACGTTAATTTCTACAACAATTTCAGGAAACTTGGTATGAAAATGCACTAGTTAAAAAGAATTGGGATCAGATAGACACTAAAAATAATTTAGCAATCTGTAAAGCACTTTCAGAAAAAGATAAGAACCTTGTAAGCACTTAAAATAATTCAAGGACTTGGAAAGCACTTTTAAATAATATAGGAACTTGTAATCACTTTACCCAATAATTTATTAATGTAAGACTCCAAACTTTTTTTTTGAGTGGGTAAGACTCCAAACTTAAGACTCATTGCTTGAAACATGGAATTTGTAATTAAAATTTCAAGAGTCAAGACTCAATTTTTTGAAGGAAAAAACTTATAGATACTCAAAGGTGGTGTACTCCAAGTGTACACCATCATCCACTATCTGTCTTTCACACGGATAGTGGGTGTTTGTGTGTGCCTGTGAGAAGGTAGTACGTGTACGCTTGTGGTACACCACCTTGAGATACCCATAGCAAATCCCAAATCAAGGAGCAAGCCCAAGTGTAATAATCAAGTGACGATCAACATTAAAAATATTCATGAAACAATAACATTATCATTTACTCCGTATGTACACATGCAACACTAAAAGCACACAAACAAATCCAGTAGAATTTCATAGTAGGACCTAGTGAAGGGCGTGCACGTAGACCCTGGACACAATCTGAGATCAACATGTTACAGTCTTGTGCCTAAAAACACTTAAGTTATAAACACAAAAACGTTAACATTACTCTATTATTTACGTAATAGCATTAAAAACATTTTGTGAAATTATATTGTAGTAATATACAATAACAGATTAATAACACACAGGTTGTAGAGCCTCTAGTGGTCTAACTAAGGACCAGTGTTCTCTCCAATCAAAAGGCTCTTCACCATTTTATCACCCATTCCATCTGCAAAAGGGAACATATGACCAGCACCCTGAAGTTCATGGTAGTGAATCCATGGAAGCTGACGGGCGATGTATCTTTGCAACACAGCGGGCACAAGAAGGTCATCTTCTCCTTGCCACAGGTGAACAGAAGGGCCTTCCCTGTCGGGGAATAACAATGACGGGTTCTTCAAATCCATCGGATCGAATTCCCATCTCCCAAACCCAACCATCAAGTCGCGGTGGATTGACTCAAATTCTCCTTGTTGTCTCACCTGTGCCTAATAAGAATTCACAGCAAAAGACGCAAAATTTCAGAACGTTATGGCATGTTAATTATTAATACTAGTAGCATTAAGCTGATGCTGTAAGACAGTTCATGATAACAAGGGATTTAGATACTACAAGCACTCACGATAATAGAGAATTTGTTGACGATAACAAGAAATTTAAAAACATTGTTTACTCACATGGACATGGATCACTCTAAAGTGACTTAAGGCCTTTGTAGTTGCTACTTATCTGAATGGACCAACAGCAAAATATGCAGGGATATAAACAGAGATGTAAAATGGTTCTCAGAAAGAAAAAAAAGGATCAACTATGACACTGTATTTCCTTTTCTCATCTTCAATTTCCATCTTTCACTTTCTTTGACTACTATTTGTCCTCATTTGAATGTTAACGCCCATACATTAGAGTATATATTTTAATGATAATAACAAACTGCCCCTAGTATAATAAATCTTGTCCTCAAAATCCAAGTTTATGAAATTAGCAGGAAAAGCCCCCAAGTTTATGAAATTAGCATGAAATTAAAGTGAACTGAGACGGAAGAATAATAAAACTTTGCCCATCTCAGAAAGACATTGTAACAACCATTGTAAAAAGTTTCGTCCAACAACAAATTGAATTTGGGGTTTGGTTGAAATTACAACAACAACAATTATAACTTTGGGGTTTGGTTGAAATTTCAGCAATTATAACTTTTCCATATTGCAGTACACTTGCCTTATTTCCTATTCAATTCTACAGTTCCTATTCATTTTTGGCATTACCAATTCCAAATCCACATATTTTTGTGCTACCAAACAGCAAAATTGGAATTGTTGTTCGCAATTCCAATTCTTTAGTTTGAATTCCTTGTACCAAACGGAGCCTAAGAGATTTTCATGAGAGCAAGTCACTTTGCTTTTAGGGTTGGAATCCTTGCAAAGACCGTGACTATATATTTCCATTAACAACCACCACTATCTAATTAAAGGCAACAAAAACAATCGAACCAGATTTATATTCACCCATTTCTTTAACCATTCAAAAACCACAACCTGTGTTTGGTACACTCCGAAATTCCAAAAACAATGAAGTGTAGGTATTAAGGGTCCAAGCCTTGATCTCCACAATACTATTAATTCCAATCAGCATGATGAACCCTCCAATAGGTATAGGAGAAAGAAAAGCAAAGTGGCCACCAAAACTGCACACAATATTGCAATTGATGCCAAAACTGAAAGAAAATTTCTCTGAGTAGTTGCCCGAAACTCTAGAAATGGAATAGAAACTTATTATACTATTACTGTGGACAATTTCGAAGATCATGCACTCATTGGAGAATAGTTGGATTTCTCAAAACTAGTAGGCAGCAGTGAACTCGAGTCGGAACTCACATTTTCAGATTTAACAGAAGTGATGATATGGCAATCTGTGGTAATTTTCTCATCAAATTTAGAAGCTGATAGAGAACATACAGGTTCCTCCACAAAACTGCGTGATAGAGGGGTCAAAGATGCGGGCAACAAAGAGTCCGTAAATATTTGTTTTTCTTCATCACTCTGGTCATTTAGGATGAAAAGTCCGGTGCACAAAACATTAATTGCTGCATCCATCAACATCGTTAAGTTACCATAACTCAGGATACTGTATTTAGCACCAAACCAAATCCATAGTGCTTCCATAAAGTTGTTCCAAGTGGCTAAACAAAGACCATTCTTGTCTAATTGATGAAACCAAACTTTAGCACACCCATAGAAATGCAACACAGATTAATCAATTCGATGGACCTCACCTTCAATGTTATGAAATGTAAAATATTTGTCTGTTCTCTTAAACTTGTCAAATTCATCACCTCTAAATTTGAGTTGAAATTTAGATAACAGAAACTAGGTTCTTTTGGAGGGGATTTTTATTTTAATAGAAAAAGAAGAAGACCCGCAATGGAAACAAAACAAATCGAGACAAATGTGATCGAAAGAAAGCATCATTTGATGAGCATAAAAACTTGGGAGAACACCCCAAAAGGTACTTGTTAGGTGGAAATGCCACACAGCTTATACGGCCTTTCCCAATAATATGATAAGCTTGCCCTTGTGAGAGTCATTACATACACTCTTGGAAACAATCACATAAGAATTAAGAACTCAGTGACCTTTCACGGAGTGAAAGATCATTTGCTACTACAAAATCAACTTGATCAAACATGAGTATCTAACGGACTAAATTAACTGATTAACTCCGGTTTAGAGATCTCTCGAGTGTCAGCACATGCTCTCTATAGAAATCTACCATTTACATGTTAACCCCCTGGGGCCTGGACCCCCACCCAGCAGGGATGTTTGTGCACAGAGCTGCCCTTTGGTTCAAGCAATGAAATTGATGCAGTTTTCTACGTATAAAAGCTAAATCTGTCCTTAGTGAAACAACCTTAGGGAAGAGGTATATCATCACAGCCTATTGTTGCAAGAAAAGAGAAACGGAAAGGGTAGGAGAATAACCCCTTTTGTGTTTCTTTCTGTTAGCACTATTAAGTATTACTATAGCATAAAATGGGATCAGTAACATTTTTTTACTTTGATGATTCCAAATTATTTAACTAGAGGAACAGATGAGACCGTGTAGTCTACTGTACTTTGCAGCTAAATGGAACAAATTAAGAAAGGGAGTTAATTCATAGTGCCAAAATTTGACATATAATGCACCTAATAAAGGTAGGATCAAGAAGCTTGTACCATGTAGTCCTTTCTTGGGGGATGAATTTTAGTCAGTAATTGTTTGTCTTGGGTAGAGAGAATATCCAGGCTGTGAGCTGAAACACTTAAAGCAGGAAAATATTTTTGGGTATCCCACCAGTACACCAACCAAGGAGCATAGTGAGCAACACGAAGAGCCCACTGATCCCGAGGAAGTAGTTCAGAGTAAGCTTTTCTCGATAAGTTTTTAGGGAGGTTAGGCCACCAGTAGTTGACAACAGGAGCAATAAGCGTTGCTCCAGCCAATCTGTCAATTATTACAACCAAAATACTAAAAAATGAACAAAACTAATGAGAAAGGTAAAAAAGCATCATGAGCATTAATAATATGTACTCCCTTTGTCCCAAAATAATCTTCAACGTTTGACTTTCACGGAGTTTGAGCAAAGTGTTGAAAAGTGAAAAGGGAGTGGTTATAAATTCATGAGAAGAGAGAAACGTTTTAGCCACAGACTCTTTTCCGTAGAAGGAAAGTGAAGATTATATTGGGGCAGACGAAAAAAAAGAAAGAATATTACATTGGAACAATATGTCGTCATAAGGTAGATCTTAGGTTACTCCTAATAGATTGACATTTTTGTTAGAATACAACTATTTTAGAATCGAATCAAAAGTATTACTAGTACAAGTGTTCTAATTAATTTCTATTTATCTACGTGAAATTGTTATGTATGTACATGCCTATGGGGGATGTACTTGAGACAGGTCCAGATCACCTGCCCTCCCATGGAAAATCCAACTGCATAGAACTTTAAACCTAGCCCGAGCTGATCTGCAAGCTCCTCTATATCAAATGCCAAGCTCTTCTCAGTACTTTTTGAATTGGGATCACTTTCTCCATAACCGGGCCTGTCAAAGGAAACGATATAGACTCGCAGACTCTCAATAACATCCTGCAATCGAATAATCATTCTGATTATTATCAATTAATAGAGACAAAGATGGAAATGGCATGAACGCGAAAGGAAAAAAAACATTTACAGGAGATAGTGTGCTGGCAATAACGACATCGTGCCTGCAAGAATCAAATCCATGGACATAGACAATTTTATATGCAGCTTTATCTTTGGGGACACCAAATTCCTTGTAAGCTAAGTATCTTCCATCACTGAGCTTTATTCTTGGAGCTGTGATGGGAGGCCCATCACGCGTGCCACATAGCTTCTGTGGAGGAGGCTGAGTTGCCCGATAAGCCCAGGCCGAACACCCTATGAAGAATACTACTAAAATTTTCCCTAAAATTCCTGAAATGTGGAATTTCATTTTTGAGCTACTCATCATCACACTAATAATAAGACTTGCGAAGCCTTATTTTTCAATCTTTTTAGCTAATTTAACTATATGTGAAGCTCTATACTCTACTTGATTTGCAGATTAAAGGTCAATAACTCTTCCACTCCTGAAATGTGATCGAGAAAAATCAACTTTTCTTTGAGTTTTCTACACTATTTTTTTTCTTATAAATAAAAAAGCACCTGAAGGAATGGGGAAAAAAGAAGCACTCCGATTAGATTTTCGAGTATGAACCCTGGCCGAAGCCTCTGAAATCTTCTTGGTCGTTGCTGTAGCCATCTACTCTTCAACGATACAGAAACGAGAACTGACAAGTTTGATTTCTCAATGTGGAGGAGCAAAGGGAGGGAGGTCAACTTGAAAATTGCAATATTAAAACCCATGTACTGTGTGTTACTCGAGCCCCATCCCCCATCCGAACAGAAATTAGAGTTAAGCAACCCAAAATTTGTACTTACACTTAAGATATGCACCAATATTTTGATAGTTCACACTAACGCAAAGTGTTGGTGCGTTAACAAAAATTAGCATTACACCAACACAAAATATTGAGGACAAGCAACGTTTAAGTGTGAGGAGATTGATAAGTCCGTTTCGCACTTATCTTTTTACTCATATTTAATATGTTCTTGTACCATTTTAATTATCAAATCAATCAATTCTTTATTATTTTTCATCAAAATATTATGTTTTGATAATTTGATCATAAAAAGAATAGTTTTGAATTAACATGCAAAAATTAGATCAAGAAAGGAATAAAAAGAGTTACTCGTAATTTTTAATAGAAAAATATTTCTATCTTACAAACGATGCGAAATTAGAAGTCGGTGCATAAGGAAAATGTGTTCAGAACGAGATTTTACATAAGGTAGTTTTGACGGTTGGTAGCGGCACAGTAGGCGGCCTGCCTGGCGGCCGCTTGTTGGAGTGGCGGCAGGCGGTCAAAGGAGGCAAATAGCGGGGCTGTTGGCTAGCAAAGGAAGGGCTGGCGGGCGGGTGCCTGCATGTCAACAGTGAGGACGAATCGGCGAGAATTCTCTGGAAAATCCGGTAGTGGTGGCAGCGGGCTGGTTGGCGGCCGGCCGCCAGTCTGCTTTTCCCAACCAATTCCTCCTAAAAATCTGGCGATCTCCAAGCTTTTCCCAACCAATTCCTCTTCATTTTTTCCCCTTTTTGGTGCGAAAATTCCCTCTTTTCTTCCCTAAATATTGTACTAAATTGTGTTTGTTAAAGTTCACTATCCAAAGTTAATTTTAAAGTTCTTTTTCTTCTTGAATTGTTGTTGAACTTTTTATGAATTAAATAATAATTTGTTTACTTTAAAATTTATTGATGTTTAATTTTTCTTTGAAAATTTTATATATATGCTGATATGATGATATTGAAGATTTCATTTAAGAAAATATTTTACATGGATTAGGATTCGGAATAAAGATTTAACCAATTTAATTTCATCTATTTATTAGTAATTGGATTAATTGTTAGAAAATGAATTAAAATTTATTAATTAATACAATTGTTTATATTATTAATTAATCATTGGAAATTAATCTTTTATCTTGTCTATGAGATAATAAGATTAATTAAGCCACACGTTTCAAACACCTAGAAATAGTCAGGGTTAGAAATAACTGCTTGGAATGGTTTAAACTAATAATAGTAATCATTTTATTAATTAAGTAATTGGAAAATAGTTCTTGCCTTGTCTATGAGGATTTATAATTATTTAAGTCGAGCTTTTTCTAGCAGAGTACTAAGACCTAGACCTAGAAATAGGAGATGTATTGGAATTATAATAATCTTATACTTTAATACTGAGAACTAAAAATAGGTGATGTATTAAATATAAGATTAACATTTATGTTTATATTGAGACCTAGAATAGGAGATATATTAAAAGAGGGTGACATCCTCAAAGGAGTTCATGAGATCAATATTAGCCAAGACCCTGTCCAGATGTCGCCAAGTCCTCCCTAGACTTCTAGACCCCAAGCAAGTGTAGATTTCCCCCACCGGTTCTGGGCAAATCAGCTTGCAATGGGTGATGCAAACATTGAACTCCTCCATGCTTTGGGCATTAGGAATGCTTCTTCCTTTGCATTCTTCAAAGCTTGTGATAGTGTTAAAGTCCCTGCTAATCAGCCAATGATCTTATAAAGGGCATAGATCCTGGAGTTGGCTCCAAAGCAATCTTCGTTCCCCCATCGAATGGGCACCATACACTGCAAAAATCAATAGAGGGGCATTGTCATAGGTTAAACTAAAGACACAGTGAGTGACTTGAGAAGCATCGTTAGAAGAAAGGAGGGAGAGGGAGTCATTATTCCACAAAATCCATCTTTTATTGTTCATAAAGTGGAGGTAGTGAGAAAAGCCCAGCTTGATCCTATATTGATCAATTTGGGACTCGGTAATGATAGGCTCAATAACGCAAAGAAAATCTAACTGAAATTTCCTCTTCAAGAGTATGAGTCAATTGAGGGAAGAGGAGACCCCACAAATGTTCCAAAAGAGAAGCTTCATAAGTAGGGGTTTGAGGATACCCCTTTAGATTTCTTGCTCCTGGTCGTTATGCCAGATTGCGGAATTTCCTTATTTCCTTTAACATGTTAGGGAAGTTGCATTGATAACAAGGAACATTTGGGGATGTCCACCTCCATGGGTTTAATTTTGGCAGTATTTGTTAGCAGATATTTGTATATATGTTTTACTGTAGCATATTGGGCCAGACCCATTTCTATACTTCTATTTATATCAACTCACGATTAATGAAATTCAAATTAGATTTTGCGCTAAAATTTTACATGGTACCAGAACCAAAGCCTAGGCGTCTTGGCGTTTCTACTCTCCGGCATACGTATTACTGTCCAACGCCATGTTCCTCTCTGTTTTCCACCGATCAGTCTCCTCCTCTTCAAAGAAGGTCTTATCGTGAATTGCAGATGTTTTTGGGCGTGCGTTGCTGCCCATACTTGCTCATTTTCTCTCTCTACCTTGAAGGTGTGCCTCTACAGGGGGTCCTCACATCCTGCTATCATTTTTTTGGGGGGATTATTGTTGCCTTCAATTATTGGATCAGTAATTGTTGCTGTGGAATTCATTTTTTGTGTGCTAGTGCTCTTTTGTGTTCACTGCTACTCTCTTCTTTTTGGTTTTCAATTTGTGTTTGCCGATTTATGGTCATACGGCGAGATACTTGTGTTGGAACAAGTATTACACCATGATTCTTTGGTTTGGTCTTTTGCTTCTACACCATTAATTTTTGAATCATTGCAAGATTCTTCTTTTACAATGTCTTATGAGTGGTTAGTGGATAGTACGTGGTGCATCTCATCATATGACAGGGATGCTCTCGTGTTTGACTAATATACTATCGAGGCCTCTTTGGACTATAAGTTTGCCTGATGGGGGTCATGTGGTGGAAAATTCTTGTGGTCGGGTGCAAGTGTCTCCCTTTTTAATCTTGCACAATGTTCTTTATGTTACTAATTTGAAATGCAATTTGATACCAGTGAGTTGTCTTGTCAACTCACATAATTGTCATATTTTCTTTGATGATCATTCTTGTATGATACTGGACCGAACTACGAAGACGCGGATTGGTCAATGTGAAGCACGCAATGGAGTCTATGTCTTTCCTTCTCAAGCCCAAGCGTCCAAAGCCGAGTCTGTTCCTTATTGCACCAACGTCTTGGTCATGCATTCGTCTCCTCAAGTTTTGTCGCTACCTCCATTTAATAAGAGTAATACTGAAATTAAAAATTTTCTATCTTGTGATATTTGTTTCTTTTCCAAACAGACTTGTTCCAAATTTTCCCCTAGTCTTAATAAAGCAGTTGCATTGTTTGATCTTATTCATGGTGATTTATGGGATCCATATTGTGCTTGCATATCCACTGGGGCTCATTACTTTCTCACCATTGTTGATGACTATTCTCGAGCTGTTTGGATATTTCTTATTATTGAAAAAACTGAGGTTACCAGTTGCTTGAAACAATTTTTTCCATTATTCAAACTCATTTTGGTAAAATAATTAAGGTTTTGCGCTCAGATAATGGTATTGAGTTTCTCAATAAACCCATATGTATGTTTTATAATGATATGGGTGTTCTGATTCAAACTTTTTGTGTTAATACCCCACAGCAAAATGGTTGGGTCTAGCGCAAACATCGTCATATCCTTTATGTCACCTGATGTCTTATGTTTCAGGCCTCTTTGCCAATTGAATTCTTGGGGGGAGTGTGTACATACAGCGGTATATCTCATAAACCGTACTCTGACTCTTCTGTTGCAAGGTAAATCTCCATATGAACTTCTTTCTTCAAAACCTCCAGACTTATCTCATCTCCGGGTATTTGGGTGTTTATGTTTTGTTCGTCACCTATAATGTCCACCTAATAAATTTCATCCACATAGTGTCAAAAGTATGTTTGTGGGTTATCCTACATGAACTAAAAGCTGGCGGGTTTATGATCTTAAGACACATCGTTTCTTTTATGCACAGGATATTTCCTTTGATGAATCTGTATTCCCATTTGCCCTTTCTCGTGCGAGTGGTACTCTGCCTAAACCCACCATCATTCTCCGATTCATGCTGATTTCCCATCTTCACCCGAACCTGAACCCACCATCACGAACTCCTCCCAGCCAGTCACATCACCTGTACCGCAGCCACAGTCGACAGAATCCTCCGGGCAATCCTCTCACTCAAATGACAGCGACGATGAGACTGCCTCGGGCAGTCCTCCGTCGCCCTCTCCCTTACCTCTTGTCCATTCTAGATGACCCCCCACTCACTTATCTGATTACTACTGTCACATAGCCCAGACGATGACTCTTGTCGCTCCTCCCATTCCCTCTTCCAGTTCTACAGGTACTCGGTATCCTATCCACAATTTTGTTCATTATGAGAAATTACATGACAAGTATAAAGGATATCTTGCTGTTGTTTCTTCAAATGAGGTGCCAAAGAATTTTAAGGAGGCTATGCAACATGCCAATTGGCGATTGGCCATGCAACAGGAAATCGCAGCGTTGGAAAAGAATCATACGTGGGACATTACAGATCTTCCTCCCGATTAGAAGGCCTTGGGGTGTCAATGTGTTTATTGCACCAAGTTTCTCACTAATGGTACAAAAGAACGTGATAAGGCACATTTGGTTGTCTTGGGTAATCACCAAGAGTTTGGTACTGATTATAACGACATGTTTGCTCCTGTATACCGATTGGGCAAGTTGCCCAATGTCTCGCTGGTCAGCAGATATTTTATCATGCTGGGTACTTCTCCTATTTCCTAGAAGACCAAGAACAAAACCACTATTGCCCGTTCTTCTGTCGAGGCCGAAAACAGGGCGCTGGCAAACGCTTGTGTGGAAAGTTGTTGGATGCTTGGTATTCTGATAGCTTTTGATGTGC